CGGGTGTTGAACCCTCGCCTATGAAAACCCCACCCCCCTAGGGGAATTTTCTGCTCTGTGTTTAAACGCTCGGCTAATGCGTTCCCGGGGCGTCCCCCGGGGCTGGTGACAAGAAGAGAGTAGAAGTTGTAGATAAAGGGCTTGAGGGTGGGCAGTGGGCGGTGTGTGAGTGGTTTGGCCCGTTTGGGTGGGTGAGTGACTGAGGAACCAAGTGCGGCCTCAGTCGTCTTACCCGTCGGCTCCCTTTTTCTTTGTTCTTTTTTCAGCTGGAAATATCCGCCGTCACCGTGATATGGTGCGTTGATGCCCTTCTTTCCCTCAAGGTATACTCCATGGTCACTTTGTTTTTGACTCCTTTTGTTTCTGTCGCCGTGACTACCCTGTTTACCTTTGAGCGTCTTATCCCCTCTTCCTCCAGTTAGATCAGTACCCAGAAAGGCAGTTATTTGAATGTATTTCTGACTATCCATACATCTGCATTCGCCTAAGGGTATGGCCCGACACAATCACTTGAGGCCATGATGGAGATATTCACATACACACAACAGATAGTGGTGAGGTTGTCATGGTAAGATGCCTGTGTGCCAACCTCTCAGTGCAATGGTGTCGAAATGTACAGCTGTCAGGGTGCTTGCTTGACCTGATTGTCCGCATTTAAAACATGTAAGACATCGAGGAGCAATCGGTAGACTAGATCACATGGACAGCCAACAGTACACGTATCTATCTTGATGAGAGAAGCCTCACTGTCCAATGAGCCCAACAGCTCATGAAAACCTCGGAAAATTGTTCAGAAAGATGGCTTATTTACCGGCCTGTGAGTTGAACAGCACCAGAGCGAAAGTTTTGGGGGCGCGATCATTCTGCGGACAGATATCTCCATCATAAGCGCAAACGGAGGAGCCATAGGAGCATGGTATTAGCAGTGGAAGTATCATTGAGAAAACCATGGCAAAAAAAATGACCTACTGATGGTAGTATGGGTGGAAAAAGGACACAGTCGCTGCCCTCAACCATGTCCATCTCAATTTGCACTCTCCCGTCGTCTTCGTCGTCGTCGACGACCGGTCCTCTCATTGGCCCGCAGGCACCTGACAAGGGTAAATCGTTGTGGGACTGCGCTGGCCCCACCGTCCTCGCACCCCTGGAGGTCGGACACCTCGATAGGTAGGCAGCCAGCCAACCCGACTTTGCCAAATCTCGGACGGGAAGTTTTCTTCTTTCAACTTACATACCTGCCCATCAAATCTTTTTTCCTTCACTTTCTTTTTTCCCTGTTCCTCAACACCCCCTCCTTCTTCTCGCAATGCTTTGGGCAACCTACGACATGGAGAGTATTCTCCCAGATCATCGCCATCGACGAGGTGACGCAATCGTCCCTTCCCATGCTAAAGTACCTTGGGCACTTGTCCTTTGGGAGTCAGAAGATTCATCTGGGGAAGGAGCAGGGCACCGGCTCTTTATCCCTTGACGACCGCAGGGTCTGTGCACAGGCTTTTCTCTCCCCCACCACTGCCCTGTGTTGTCACCGAACCTAGGAATGGGACCTGTGGGCAAACTCTTTCTTAGGCCTTGCCTTACGGTCGAAAGTGCGGCCTCTACTATTGCTTGTCATCGACTCCTTTTCTCTGGACATGACGCCATCGCCATGACAAGATAGGTATGTTGATGCGCTCTTTCCTTCCGTCCCATCATTTTCTTTTCTTCTTCTTTGCTTCTGTCACTACGATCACTCTTTCTGCCTTCTCCGCAAAAGGTCATGGCACCCTCTCCCCTCCTCTCTCCCTTCCTCTAATAGGTACGGTTCAGAATCCTGGGAGGCAGTGTCTGGACCTGTGTCTGCCTGCTTCCACGCACCTGGGGTAACCCTACACAATCACTCGGGCAATGATGGAATCTTCACATACACACAAGGGACAGTCGGCCACTCTGTCTGACGTTACTGGCATGACTTGTAGAAGAATGCTGAGCCTACAACTTTGCACGGGGGCAAATCAAATCCTACAGGGCTTCATGTAACTTGGGATATCTTACAGACGATGGCATGGGAAAAAATGTATCACGAAGCCGAAGCCTTGCTCAAGTGGTGATCGTCTTGGGGTGACTAGACCCTCTGACACCACACTGCATCGCCGTTGGGATGTGAGTGTTCCCGGCAATGCGAGCAAATGAAATTGATCTTGGCCCAACTTTGGTGTGAGTTCCACCATTGAAAAGGTGGCTCACAGACCGTGGGCCATTGAGAGGGACAGTGATGATCATTGATCCTTGCGGGTCTACATTCTGAGTCTCATGCAAAAGTCAAGCAAACATGGACGGAAAGGAGATGTAGGAAGGGAGGGGTGGAAGTGAACGACGAAGGGATAAGGGGTCTAACTGTGCTTGACATGATGGTCTGGTGTTGAAGAAGAAGAGAGATAGAAGAAGAGTCCTGGGAGGGGAGACGGGTTTATATGTTCCTTCAACTGGCCACCGTCCCCCACCGGGAAAGCATTCGGTCAGGTACAGAGTATAAGGTAAGAAGCAGGAGGCAGGAGGTAGGAGGTAGGAGTTAAGTAGATAGAATTAATCAGAAGAAGAATATCAAGTCACCATAGCCGAGCGTCATGCAGACATGGCGAGAGAGATATCTACCTCGCCAATCAATCTGACAAGCACTTGAGAAGATATGGCTGTAATCCTCTGGGCTGGCCGCTGTACATCTATGTGATTCTCCGGCAAAACGACAGGGCGACGTCCAGCGTGTCTTCCGGCCTGCGATTCCGACCTTTGGGAGTAGTCTCAGCCCCGGATTTGTTCGAGTCATAGGTCGGCGGCTTTACCATGTATCTCACGAGGTCACAAGATAGTCACGAATGAGGAAGGAAAATACAACTAGGTATTTTTCAATACGATGTGTCCTTTGTCTTTTCTCTATAGAGTCTGCGGGTCTGCCGTCCATGAGAGGTGAGGGTTGTAGATATGGATGACCGAGTAAGGTACGCCCTGATAGCGGTACATGTTGACGGTATCTCGGCGTCTTTTGGAGCCACCAGTTCAGTGTCCCAAAGAAGGAATTTTATTTTCAAGACGATCACTGCTATGGACTCCCTATTGCACCAAAGTCATTGGCCCTGAAAGTCGCCTGATGCTAGTCATGGCGGACCCCAAATCTTCACGACGAAGGGATTGCTCAATCTGACCGTGGATGGACGTTTATTTACACAATTTATTGAAAACATCACAACGCGGAATCTGCAAGACGTCGTGATGTTCTTGCAAAAAAAGACGAAAAGAGAAAAAAGAACTTATGATCGCTTGAGGGTTCGAACCCACAAACTACAGCTCGGTAGATTTGCGCTTCAGGATTAGGGGTATAACCATCTTAAGCTTCTGGGCAAGAGTCCCTTTTACTGCTGTTTAGAGATTTTCGAGGTGAACCAGCTTATATTCATCACATCCGAGGCCATGCAGCGGACACCGGAGGTACCCAGGCAATGACGTCGTTCAGGAATACACACCATCAACCGCCAATGCCACGCCCCCCTTTGAAACCATCGTTACAGACCAGAAATCTTTCAGTAGTGTTTTGATCTGCCCCGTTCGACTCCCATACCCTTCGCGATGAATCTTGACTAGGTGACCGGCGCGTTATCCCATGGCTTGCCTGTTTCGAGGTCACGGTATAAAAGAATAAGTCGACGCGTTCAGATTTTCTCCTCAAAATCAACATGGTATTCATACACCTAGCCCATCGTTCACAACAATAATACAAAATATGCTAGAATCATACATCCAAATCACTTCGCGCTCCTCCAAGTCCCACCAGCAGCCCCGTTCCCATCGCCCAACCCGGACCCGGGCCCAACCCCAGCTCCGGGATGACCGCCCCTCCCTTTCCTCAAACTCGAAGCGCGAGACCAAGCAGCCGCGGTATCGCCCGCAGACTTCTTAAGCCTGTTCCCCAGACTGATCCGCGCGGCACTCATCACTGCACCACTGCCCGCCCCTCCCCCTTGCATCCGGCTAGGGATCCCCGCGGAACTCGCCACGCTCTCCCAGTCGCCCCTCTCGACTTCCTCATCATCAGGCTCCTCGATCGCAGGCGGCGGCAGCACGAAGCCGCGACCCATGACGCCCCCCGCAGGAGCGGCAGACACACCCGCGGCGGGCTGTTGACCCTTCCTCAGCGCGCCCATCATAGCAGCCCATGACTCGACCTGGCCACTTGAAGCCTCTTCTACACAATTGCACTCATCGCCGGCAGGGCACATCACCTCGCCTGCGGCATGCCATTCTGCAAGACACGCCTCGTGGAAGGCACAGCCGCAGCCTAGACACGGCGGGTACAGTGCATCGACGGGCTCGCGGCAGTATACGCAGAGAAGCTGGTACTGCGGGCGACGGCAGCGATCACAGGCACCGACGGCGCCCCCGGAGCGGGTCGCGGAGGCAGAGGTGTATTTAAGTGGCTCGAGCTGGGTCTCGTGGACGCGGCATACGCCGGTGACGTCGAGACCGCGGCCGGAGGCGACGAGAGCTTGGAGCTGCTCCTTCTTTCCGAGGAGGATCGGGGAGGTGTTGTGGGGTTGCTGCTGGTGATGCTGCTGGTCGTGATGATGCTGTTGGATTGTCGTCGAAGTATCAGCGATACTGTAGGTGTCGTGGAACTCGTCAATCGAACCACCCCCTTGGCTCTGCTGAAGCACGTTGAACTTCATAATCTCCAGGCGGGCCAGAGGTTGGTTCCACATTTGCAGAATCTCGGCGTAGACATAGCGGTACGTGGCGTACATGTCAGCGTGGTTTGCCTCCAGAAGCGGCGTCGTCATCCATCCGTCGTCGTCGAAGATGGTCTGATCCTCCATATGGACCGCCACTCCGATGGAGACAAAAGAGAACAGGTCATCGCGGTACACCTCATCATCCGAGAGAGAGGTGCGAGCCGTGCCCGAGTCGCCCATGATGGTTGAACCTCCCCAAGTGACAGCACCGGGTGCACTGGGAGCGAGGGTGCTCAGTATTGTCTCCGCTGGACTCGGTCTCTTACGACCGTGATTAGGCGGTGACGATGCTGCAGTCGTTGTCCCCGTCGCAACACCACTGAACGGTCGGGGGAAATTGATAGCGAAGCTCGACGTCAGGCCCGAATTGGCTCTTGACAGCGTCCTTCCACTGGGCGACGTGGAAAGACTTGGCGTTTGATCACCCTCCCCAAGATACTCCTTGCCCCTTGGTGGTGGTGTCTCGCCGCACGAGTAAGAGTTTGAGCCTGGGTCGCCAGTCCAAAGCATTTCCTCAGCGGACCCTTGTGACCCAGAGTACCGGATTGGCGTGTGCAATGTCCTAGGCGTGGTGATGGCTGAATTTGTCTGACTCCTTCCATTGTAAGTCCAAAGCGATGCATCCGTGGGGAAGTAATCGAGTGAAAATGCTGGAGTCTTCATGGGCAGCGGTGTATCTGGCTGTGTTAGGTGCGACTCGGCGTAGGCAACGCTGTCTTCGGTGAATGCTTCACTAAAGATGCAGGACAACATAGCTAGCATCTGGATATCTGCAGTTTTCTCAAAATAATCAAAGAGATCGCTGATGAAGTCCCTTGCTAGCGGATGATTGCCCCACTTCACTCTCCCGTTAAAGTCAGCAGTGTCTTTGCCATTGATCGTCTTGGTAACCGGCGACCCCTCGTGGCGGAATCGCGCAAGGGCGTCTCTGGCAATGATCAGAATGGAGTTCTGGTGACGGTCCATGTTTGACAATTCCAGTGGGATATCTCGGCGAAGGATCAGCGAGAGGTAACGCCAGACATCCACCAGATCTTGGCAGCCGTGCTTCTCTGCGACCTGAGCGTTGTGCTCGCAGACCTCAGCACCATCCCCAAATATAGCATAGTCCTCGGCGAATTCCTTCTTCGCGGGGAGAATATCCGATAAGTCGTGAAGAGAGATGACGTTCCTTGATTTTGCGCCCGGTCGCCTTCTAAGCGATCCTGTACCCGTTCCGGTTCCAACCCCTGTGCCCCCACCGCTTGATCGAACAGAGCGGTTATCACTCCAGGTTCGCTTGAAACGATGTCGAGGTTGATACCATAGGCTCATCTTGTTGATAGATGTTGACTCCGAGTCACTCGAAGACGATGAACCGGTGGAGATGTCAGAGTCGGACTGCTCGTCTGTGGCGGACATTTCATCGTTGCCGTATCGCTTTCCCGGAGGAGAATCATGCGCAAGACGACCGAAGCCTGCAAAAACAGGCTCCCCTTTTGACCTTTCTCGCATAGGTTCTGCCGGCGTGAATAACAATGCCCTTGCCTTTTCTTCCTTGGTTGGGAAGAAGCACACCAACCGGCCGTCGTTGGAGAAGCGGGCACCGCAGAACCGTGGTAAGGGTGGGATCGTAGGTCTATTGTTTGGTGCCAATGTGCTTATGGCCTCTGCGTTTGGAGGCAATTCTTGGGACATGGACGCCGAGCCGCCGGCCGGAATATCGTTCTCGTCTTCGCTGGAGCTCTCGGAGCCAAGTCCGTCTAAAGGGTCGTCGAGATCCTTCACATTTTTGAAGAAATTCGTGCTCGCTGCAAGGTCGATCTCGCCTAACAGATAAGAGAAAGCAACATCCAGGCAATTCTGCTTTCGCTCTAAGAACTGTTGGCAAAGCTCATGGATTTCGCGCTCGACCTTTTTATGCGTCTTGTCCGACATGAAGCCGGTCTTCTCAATGTAAAATCTTGGTGCTTTGGCTTTGGGATAGTTTGAGGGGATGTCGACCGTGACTTTGATGAAGATGGGATCGCCGTTGGCGCCCCAAGGGCCGTTGAGAGATGCATTGAGCGTCAGGTTGTCCATGTCGATGTGCTCCCACTTGACCTTGGGAAGCTGCATGCTGATGCGGAGGAATTCCTCCTGGATGGTCTCTGGCTCTCCCCACTTATCATCGTCCATGTAACCTGGGCTGAACATGCTGGAGTCTTTCGAATCTGCCCTTCTAGGGCTGTCTGTAGATGTTTTTCTCTTGTTCATCATGATTCCCTTCATCCAGCCAATATGTGCCTGGCTACGATCCATCTCTCTGGATGTGCTTTTGGCTTTCATTGATGAGCCCTTCCAAGCCGCACCAAGTTTGGAGTAGGTTGTCGGCCCAGACCGCATGCCCATAGTCAGAGCACTCTGACGGTATTGCGCGCTGTTGCGGGGATCGCTCATTGTGGCACTTCTCCTGTCTCGGCTGACCGTGTCCTCAACCGTTCGGAAAGTTTTGTAGGCAGCGCCTTTACGTGTGAGGACGACATTTTTGTTGGCTGCCATCCCTTTCACATAGCCCACTGACTCGAGAATTGACGGATCGACTTGCTGCAGACGCAGTTCATTGTCCTCTCCCCAGGAGACCAGCTGGAAATCTCTGTTATCTAGCGCATCTTCGGTGATACTTCCTCTACTTCTCCACAAGAACTCCTTGGCCTTGTGGTTGCCGTGACCAGGAAATACCGCTACTGGCTCAGTCGGCCCTTCCTCAGGGTCCTTGGGAGGTGTTCGCCAGTCGTACAGGTACAGATCGCCTGGTTCGTTCTGAGGCATCGCAAGGAGCCCCTGGCCAAAAGGGGTATGACGAGCGCGCCACACCGGGAACTCGGTACGTATAACGCGATCCGGGACATCTTGATCGCTGGCGTAGTCCCAAAACTTGATGTGCTTGTCCAAAGAACAAGTGACAATCTTGGTAGACGTGGTCCGGTTCCAGTCAATCCCGTAGATCTTTGAGGTGTGTGCGCCGATTGATTTCAGGGGCTCACTTGGTCGTCGCTCGTCCCAAATGTGCAACCACCTGTCGTGAGATGAAGCTAGAATGTGCGGGTCCTGGCGGTTGTACTTGACTTGCGTGGCGCCGGCAAACCAATCGCAGAAAGTAAGGACAGGCTGTCTCGGGCGCCTTAGATCCCAGCAGTGCACGTAACCATCGACGGCACACGAAGCAAGCTGGTCTGGGTGGTGGGCGGACCAGTTGATGTCGGTGATGGCTCTGCTGTGGCCTTGCAGTGAATGCTCAATAGCTCCCGATGTCGAGTCATCTCTCAAATTGAGGTTCCAGACAAGCGCGCGATGGTTGGCAGTGGAGACAACCCAGTAGTCACGAACTGCAAAGGGCGACCATTGAACATCGGTGACCAGCCAAGGGGAGCCATGACTGCTGAGTCGGCGGGGAGGATTGTATGGTGAGTCCAAATCAATAATGGATAAGCCCTCGGGTCTGATGGGTGTGTCAGCATTGGTACCGGTCGCTCAGAAGCTTTACGACAAGTTCACTCACGATGCTAAAGCAACATCCCTCTGAGAAGGGGCTATCGTCGCCGATCCTACCAGACCGGCGACGTGAATCGTGCCGTCCGCATCGAAGCTCTCACTATCAAAGGCTGATTTGATCGGCTTGCCCTTCTTCGGCGCATCAAGCTGGTCGAAGTGCGGCATGATGGTGGTTTTGGCTCAGGTGAGAGAGATGCCTCAAGAGGGCATCTGTAGGCGCTATGTCTTTGCCATGATCCGATGGCAAGCGACAGTGGGTGAGTCTTTCCACAGTCTAGACTGTTCTGATAGTTGATGTTTGAACGTTAAGGTGCCCCGATTGGATGCAGTATCGCAACTTGATATTGAATGTCTTTAGGTGATGCTCAGAGCCCCGATGCACGCGACGGGATCAGGTGCATCCGCAGCTGAGCATCCTGGACGGCCGCTTCTGGATGGACGGGATGATAGCCAGGGACCCACAGTCGCGATGATGTATCATCACGCAGGAAGTCTGCAGTCGTATACTTACACCCCGCCGGGACCCTTGGGCCAATAATAGCCCTTCAATACCACCTCCAGTCTCCACCCTTTTGCTGTTATCGGGACAGCGTCGAGCCAGGCTTGGAGTGTGTCATGCTTCTGGTCCCTCCCGCGGGGCAATCCCAAGCAAGGCTTTCCCAAGCACATGCCCACCATCCCCAAAGGTTGCCTTTCGAAACACTCCACCAGTTCTGCGTACTCGTCGTCTTTGTCACCGCTGATACAAACCGATATCCCGAGCATCCGATCGCGATTTCGTCTGCGACCTTCCTTCCTTCCTTAGCGAGCCGAAATCCAGGAAGCTCCATCTGATTTACCACTCGCTTAACCCCGCCATCGGTCCATCAGCTTCTTGACCTCGGACCTCACTTTCTAGAGGAAGCACAGACAACATTTCTTCCCTCCTTCACCCTCGAACAACCTCCGGAACTTCTGTCGCCCAGCATGGCTCTGCCTAAGCGTATTATCAAGGAGACGGAGCGTCTCATGGCTGAGCCGTAGGTCTCCTGCCTAGCTAGCGACATCTCGATGCTCTGCTAACAAAGACTGGTTCCAAGGGTACCCGGAATCAGTGCCGTCCCTCACGAGGACAACCTCCGCTACTTCGATGTCGAGATTCACGGACCTACACAATCTCCGTATGAAGGTGCGTACTACATACGCTGGAAATTGAACTGGGAAGAAGAAGAACTAATATGTGTTATAGGCGGTGTCTTCAAGCTCGAGCTCTTCCTTCCCGACGACTACCCCATGACACCCCCCAAGATTCGCTTCCTTACCAAGATCTTCCACCCCAATGTCGACAAGCTGGGCCGCATCTGCCTCGACGTTCTGAAGAGTGAGTGGCTGTACATGAACAATGGTGTTTTCGCGCAGAATGGCTGACAAAGAAATCTCTTTTTAGACAACTGGTCCCCTGCCCTCCAGATTCGCACCATTCTTCTGTCAATCCAGGCCCTCCTCGGCGCCCCGAACCCCGACGATCCCCTTGCCGCCGATGTCGCGAAGAGCTGGAAGGAGGACGAGCAGGCCGCCATCGCGACGGCCAAAGAGTGGACCACGAAATTCGCTGTGCCCAAATAGAGGAGGAAACAATGGAGAACCGGGAGGCTGTGCTGAGCTTTGGGGGAAAAGGCAGACGACGGCGCGTGGAGGAACAGCTACGGCAGGAGCCAATGCAAACACACTTTCCCTAGACTGAGTTTTAGGCGGATACTTCAGAGACGATACAGCCCTCCTGCTGTCTTGACTTTGTAGAACGGGGGCTGATTTGGACGTTCAGGACTTGGAGTTGCAATCTTGAGATATGGCATTGCGGACAGCTTTTCTGGTTTCACGGGAGGACCCATGCATTATGCCTTTACGACTTTCAACAATGAGAAGGATTTCTTTCATCACATGATGTACCTGCGAGATTGGTGCGTGATCTGACTTAGGTAAAACCCATGGGTTCGGCTTGAAGTCTTGATAAAGACGGTATATATCCTTTGAGTCGTAAGTCGACAAAATCGGGCGACGAAGGACTTCTCTCCTTCAGATTGTCAAAAAGAATCAACTGAGAAACGCTTTAAGTACAACTTCTAACTCATAAATTTCAAGAAGCGTCGATGGTTTAGTGGTAAAATTCTCCGTTGCCATCCAGCAGCGTCGGGGAGCCGGGGGTTCGATTCCCCCTCGACGCATTTCTTTTGTTCCTCAGCCTACTTTCCACTAAGAAAAGTGGAAAACATCGTGTTTTTGGTCTAGAGCATAGGATGAATGGTGTCAGAAAGCATGGAACTCCTCGGCTGTGTTCTTATATCCGCTGCGTGTACGGAGTATTAAATATATGGAAGTTTTTGCTACTATATAATGCTAATCTCCTCGTATTGTTGCCGTTGCCATTCGGACGTTAAGTCGGTGGAATGAATGTCAAAGCTGGAGAGCTCTGTGTCTCCAATGTAAAGAAATTGTCGAGGCTGGGTCTTTTCTGTGTTATTCTTCAGGGCAACGGTCACTTCCCGCAGAATAAAAGCCGTTGAAGCACCCTCGACTAGCCAGATCTGATCATGTTCTGCTGATAAGGGAGACCCTAGGCCATATGCCTCTTCGGAAGTGTGATAGAAGCATCCGTTATCAAATTCGAGCCAGACCATTGGATCTACATGAAGCCTACGATAACTTTCAAAATCCAGACAGTAACGTGCATCCGTAAAGGAGAGTGTAAACTCTGATACCCACGACAGGATCTTGGCAAGAGTTGCCGATTCCTTGTTGGGCCCTTCGAGTTTTGTCTCTACGAAGTTCTTCCGTCCCAAAGCCAAGTATTCGACCATTTGACGGCTCAAAGATAATCTATAGGATGTAGAAGAATTCACATGAGATAGATACAGAGCAAAACATTCGTTAAGCACTGCTGCCGCTAATCTATTCCAGAGGTTCAGCTGAGGATGATACAAAGCCTCGACTGGCCTGGTTCGAAGGATGTCAACCATCGATAAGGCCATCTCGTAACTGGATCCTGGGACACGGTACCCGAAGGGTCTGCCGGATATCTCGCCTAGAAATACACCACGCAGTATAAGTTTGCTCCCAACGATGGACGGTCTTGTTGGTTGTCCGCGCCATATCGCTAGTTCGCGCTGCTCTAGAGAGGTGAAGGTCTCCTCAGTCCCAATTAAGATGTCAGGTTGCTTTCGGGGAGCTGATGCAATCGATACCGAATAATCAGGAACCCATGATGGCAAGCTATTGTATCTGCGAAAGTTTTCGTTCCCAACATGTCTCAATTCTGACAGCAAAGGAAGCCGCTGAAGAAAACACGCCGCTACAGAGGTAAAGACGTCTTCCACGCTCCGGTCGTAGTCGGGCATGATAGGGCTTGGAAACCCCTTGGGAAGAAGCAGCGAGAGCATGCCCAAGCACCCATGGATATGGTCGCGGTCGTCTCCAAATTGAAAAGAGCGGAGGGCTGTGATGAGTACCCTTGCGCATGCGAGCCAAGCGGACTCCGACCTCGTGTTCCAGCCTGTTGTCTCTGTGTTATGTATGAGTTCGGCCAAGAGTGGGCGGACTCTGTTGATCTTGTGTAGGCCAGACCCTACGCCAAGATGCCTACTGATCAAACTTTGCGCCATGTCTAGGGAGTTGGTCATTGACGCTGGTTGAACCCATCCGAGAGACAGTTCAAGCTGCAACTCAAGAGTCCTATTCCATCGAATCTCGTGCAGGAACATAACAAATGCTCCAAGGCGCTTCCAATTTAGGACGTTTCCCCCACACATAACGTAGATCTGAGCTGAGTTGGCCAGGGCGACTTCTTGGACGACCCAACCACGATCGAACCATCGGTTTTGCCTGAAGAACTTTGCAAACGGTAGCCATGCTCCAGCCCATCGCGAGCAATTTTCGGATCCTAATTCTGCTAGAACTTCAGGGTCTTGCCGTAAGGGTCCTTGTGTAAATGATTCCTCGCAAAGTCCGGTCTTTCTCGTACCATCTTGGACAAACGGGGGATGAACTTGTCGTGAATCCACTAAACCTCAGAGTCAGGCTCCAATATTCCCAACCATACAAGCACATTCTGTGACGAGCTATATATGCGGTGCATGAGAAGGACTTGGTGTTTCTTCTCCTCGGTATTGGCCTGGTCGATACAGAACGCATCTATCCACAGTGGCATCGATTCCAGGGCAGACCTGACCTTTGGCGGACACTTTCGACTTGTCGGGGAGCCTCTTTCCGTCGATGAACACCGGAAATCGAGGATGGTACGGAGGAAGTCAAAGAGATTCTCAGATATCTCCATCAGTCTGCCATCGCAAACGATCTCAAACGTCCTTCCTGGCCCTGGCTCTTCGGCACCTTCGGAGTTGCTATACTTGGGCAGTTGCCATGTATAGGACAACGCCGCGAAGATCGGTTCATCGTCCAAGTTGACCTCCTTGAGCGACAGCCATAGTCCGTGTGGATGGTTGTCATCCCGCGAGATACTGAGGAGGCGTACGGAGTCGAATGTCGACAAGGCCTGGTATTGGTAATCTGGAAGCGAAGTATTCATACTCCGATGACGATAATAACGATGCCAATGAAGATTTATCGATCTCTGTTTGATTTGCTTTGAAGAAGCGCAAAGTTCCTTCAATTTGAGTAAGGGACTGAGCAATTAAGAGTTGACATGATCAGGCTGCCTGATATCTTATTGCGACACAGCCACATGACCTGCATGCCGGCGTTGGCATGCAGTGGTTCTGCATGTGATGTCACATTGGTGTAAGCACTAACACGATGCCACATGTTTTTCTACTTATTTTCGAATTCTTTCGAATGTCCCGTGATTAGATCAATGTGGGAGTCGATCGCCCGTGGATGATATTCTATGATATTCGAATTATACACTTGCGTGTATGCAATGCACCATCGCAGTTGCTATCAACAAGGTCACGCCGCGGTCATCCCCAGATTCTCCGCCACGGCCTTCAGGCTACGTTTCTGGATTAGAGAGTACCAGCTTTGAATATTTACAGGCTCTTCTTCCAGTGCTTCCACGAAACCGAGCAGGTCCGGTTCAGGATGTTTCATCTGTAGCGGCCGTCCATCTTTGTCTCGAGACTGTAGGTTGGACTGGAAAATTCCAGCTGCCGAAAACGGGAGGAAATCTTCGTAAGTGATTGGACGTGCCTCTATAACACCCTGTGCAATGAGACGCTCAAGAGCGAGTGCATCGAGTTGCTGGCCAGCCTCACCCGGGGGTGCTTTACCGATGCAGAAATATTCGCAATGTATCAATCCCTTGCTCCTCAATTCAGTCCAAGTATCAGGATATTGCTTGAAGACGTCTTCTGCGATTCTATCAACCTGCTCAGGTTCAGCATTCGCCGTCAGTGCCATGGCCTCTTGCAGAAGTCGTTCGTAAAGTATCTTTCCTTGTTCCGTAACCGCGGCACCCCGCTCCTCAACCTCCCCGAACCGAGCCTTATGGCCGGCCTTGATCAGTTCGGGCTCAGTAGAAGCCAAGTCCAGGTCGAGACTATCGCTGTTCTGAAGTGGACGTATTCTTCAAGAGCCAGAAAACTAGTCTGGCGCAGAAGAATGAGGCACTGGCGGATGGGCGGCCCTTCGATGCGTGCCTTGACAGCCATGCCCGCCTCCCTCATAGCAGCCTGGACAGCCGAAATGTCCAAGGTTCGAGGTGTGAGGTGGTTGATATGGGCGCTTTGGAAAGATGCAATGTCAGCCAGAATAGGATGCTCGGCCTTCAGAATGTTGAACTGGTCGAAGGTGGCGGCAGCCACCCTCTTTACCCTATCCTACCAAGCAGCATTAGCATCAGCATCAACAGGCGAAATGCAGAGAACGCCAAAATCGATCGTTACCGGTAATGCTGCTCAGAGTCTCCGCAGCGTTCTGCTTGCTGGAAAGAATACCGCGTGAGTCCCTCATGGGCGATACCAAACGACCCACTATCAGTAGAAGAGACCTCTGACTGGTCACCACTTCCATAGTTACCACCGATGTCACGAAAGAAAGGTGAAGTGTAGCGGTGGCCGTCAGTGCCAAAACTGTCAGCAATCTGACAAGGCGGACGAGTGCTCGTTTCCGCAAAGGAATAGGACTGTAAAGGTTCCGCAAAGGTGAGCTGACATTCCTTCTTCAAGACCCCTTCTTTTGACAGTGTCTCTGTTGCTAATGGTTCGACATTCAAGTTTACTTGATGAACTGTTCCAGGAGATTGGTAGACTGAGGCGACAGAGTACACCTCAGCTGCAGTCAGAACACCGCACAACGGATATCGATGAATCCCACCATACAGATACTCCTGACGAAGATGCCCCTCACCCACTTCAGTCACCCATAGACCTTCAGCCAGAACCACCTGCAGAATCCGCGGAAAGCGAACCAATTCCAGCAATCAGTATTGATCAATGGTTCGACAGTTTGAATGTCTTCAGAAGCCCTGTCCTCATCGGCGAGGCTGCCGACGCCGCTTTCGCAACTCGGTTTCGCCAGGTCATCACGGACCCGTCAGCTCCCGAGCCTATCCACCTCCTACGCTTGGATTATGCATCCAACGAGTCCATGATGTCGTTGGCTGATGTCAACACACCTTGGCCTGGGCCTTCCCGCGCCAAATCCTTGCTCGAGGCCGCCATGATATACATTGGTCGCTCATATCACGTCATGGAAGCACGCGTAATTACAGAAAGCTGGAAACAGCACAGCCATGACGCGAACCAGGAGGCCATAACCCTTCGGTGTAGAACTTGGGCCTTATTTGCGATCGGGGAGCTTTACATCTCCAATTCCACCGGTGTCCACGGTTTCCCTGGAATGGCATACTTTGCTCAAGCATCTAAGGCTTTGGGATATCCTGACGAGCGCCCCGAGGTCGACTCAGTTGAGCTTTACCTTCTCTTGGTCAGCCTCTCCTGCATGATGTCCAACGACGACTAATATCCTGACAGGCTTTCTACTCTATGGCTCTGAACCGACGATATAGTGCGTACGTTTTCGCGGGTACTGCCGTTCGTGTTGCAGTTGTCATCGGCCTGCACCTTAACATTCCGGAGTCTCAATTACCAGACCCCATGATTCGCCAACATCGGAAGTGCCTCTTTTGGACTGCATATATTATAGACCGACTCTGTGCTGCGAACCTCAACCACCCACCGGCAATTCGAGATGATGACATTGGCGTTGACCTTCCTTGCGAGCCATCTACTTCGAGTTCGACCGATAGCTATGGTGACTCCGATTACCATGTTGCTAATATCAAACTAGCTGGTCTATTAACTTCCATAATCCGATCTGTCTACAGCGTCCGAACCCAAGCTGAAGGCACATGCGCGAACCTTTCGAGCCGCGTACAAGGCTGTCTCAAAGATCTCCAGTGCTGGTTCGAAACCTTACCTCGTTCGTTACAGATAGGAGACAAATCTTTGAACGAGCCACATGATCACAAAGTTGTCTCTCTCCATCTGCGTTTCTACCAGGTTAGTCACCTTGATCTATCGAGTATCCTCTATTGCACATGCTTAACGCTGATCCTCACTAGTGTGTGATTTTGGCTACTCGACCACTTTTACTACACGCCTTGCGAATTCAGGTCGCAAGCTCACGTTCCGGCCCATCTCCAGCATCATTCAGGATCCCTCCCGATGCGACAGCACTTTCACAGGCATGCATACGGTGCGCTCATCAGTCTACAAGACTGCTCACACGAGCGTGGATCGATGGGACCTTTGTGACTTTTGATTGCTTCTTCACGCAACACCTCTTTTCTTCATTAACGATCCTCGCCATTTCGAGTCTCTTGGACGGAGTAGGCAGTCGACATGATCGGGATTCTTACGAGGAGGCATCTCGTCTGCTTGACCAACTAAAGATGGCTGGGAACATGGTGGCCCAGGAATATAGTCGCCATGTTGAAGTGATGGAGTCGACGATATTGTCGCACCTCGAAAACAATACCCCATCCCAGTCAGATGGATTAGGGGGCCTTGCGACGATGTTCTCGCTCAGGAAATTGATCCAAACTTACCAGATGGGGCAGTGCCAGCAGCAGGTGTGCCTTTGCCAGAGCCGTCGTTGCAAGAGCTGTTGTCCCAACCAGTGTTAGATCTTCACTTCTTTGAGGGTGCTGTTCGAGGGGAGCACTCGCAAGGGATTTACTGGCCAGACATGCATGTAGATAGATGAGATATCAGGAATCGTAACGAAGATCAGGCCACTAAGCTCTCCGCCGAGACACGTCGTATTCGACGAAAAGCGTTCCGCCCGACCCCCGTGGACCAAGCTTTCCTCACAGCACCGCCGGTAGAAGATAGTAATGTGAGTCAGTCTCATTTCCCATTCTTTCCATGTTCATTCTTTCTGCATTGACTGTCAAGTTCTGCCTGGACGATCATTTCCTCATGTTCTTCATGCCGTACAACTTCGGGCGCAAAGTTAATGTCGGCTACTTTTCGCAGGCCACCAAATGCGGTTTCCACCGTCAGAAGGCCGCAAATTGCACCCAACCGAGTATGTATGCATCCACTCCTGGTTCCATCCAAGTCTCTGACATATTGACATAGACATAAGCCAATAAAGCTGAACCCTTTCTTCCAGAACTTGCCTCAACAACTGAGTGTCGACCCTTGCTTCGATTGATGCCACTAGGGGGCTCAATCACACACGGCGTCGGCTCTTCTGATCAAAACGGATATCGGAAGAAGCGTCTCGAGTTGCTACATGGCTACGGCTTCAGTTTTTGCATGGTTGGGTCTCGTAAATCAGGCACCCATCACAACAACGAACATGAAGGCTGGCGGGGGTATAGGATCGACCAAATCGAGGCCAGGGCGAGGGTAGCGGCAGCGAAGTACCTGCCGCATGTCTTCACCGTGAACGCCGGCTCCAACGATTGTTTACAAGAATACAAATTGGTAGAAGCACGGGACCGCCTTGGTCACCTCTTGGAGACCCTCTGGATTGCCTCGCCTAGTTCAACTATTATTCTCTCAAGCCTACTGGTCAACCGGAACGAGGCCGTGCAGCAGCGGGTTGAGGATTTCAATAGAGAGGTGGAAAGACTAGCCCGCACTTTGATTCTAGGAGGAAGGAAATTAATCTTCGTGGACTTGCAAGGAAACGACGGGCCTGCCATGGAAGATTTAGCGGCGGATGGGACGCACCCCAATGATACAGGTTATGAAAAAATGTCTCGGATATGGCTACGGGGCATTCGAATGGCTTCAAGAAGAGGCTTCTTGCCCCCACCGCAACAATAATAGGCCATTGAAATAGGATCTTCTGTATGGGGAGAGTACCATTAGCTTCTGTCGGTCCAGAGCCGAGCAGTTGAGGAGCGTCGACCCTTGATTTTGGCTAGCATAGTGACAACTTCCGTTGCCTCCAAGGCCCTCGACATAACTTGACAACAAAGATGATGAAACTGGTGCCAGCCAGTATTCATTTCGTCAAGTCTATCCCATGTATTGTCTATTGTACCTAGCTAGCTACTGTATCCTAGTGTGGATTGCCCTCTTGCGACTCCCAGCTTTTCGCTTTCAAGAAGTAGAGACAACCGTAGCCCACGGGTGCTCAGTATCGCCGTACATGATCTCGGTGAGCCATCTTTTGATAGTGGTCGTGACTTTCGCTCCCTTCCCGTCGTTACCCATTGGCACATTGATATCATGCCCTCGGTAGTGAATTTGGGAAACTGCTGAAATGAAGTACTATCTCGTCAATTCGTGGGGTCGAGTATCACGGTAATTGGGGGATACTCACAGCAGTACCTGCGGCAAACGACTCCAAGAGACGACCTTCAGCTGCAGCCTCCATGATTTCAGCGACTGTGAACTTGCGCTCTGTGACCTCAATCTCCTCGCCAAGCCTTTCCCTCGCAAGTCCAAGGCAGCTTCGTCTCGTAACGCCATCGAGGATCGTCTTATCATCCAGGGGCGCAGTAACGAGCTCCGTCTTGCCATCCTTGCGTACCCACACAACGAAGAAGTTGCACCCGCCAGCTTCGGTGCATTCACCATCTTCTCCGTAGAGCCACAAGACTTGATGATACCCTCGTGCGCTAGCTTCCTGCAGAACCAAGATTGAAGGCCCATAGTTGGCTCCGATCTTTGCGTACCCAAAGCCACCGACCCAGGCCCGTACGGTGTCTTTCGGGGACGAGTAAAGTCGCATACCCCCCGGTGGTACATCGAGGCGAGGCATGTAGGCCAGAACGATGAAGAACATCGCTTCCTTTGGCGCTTGAACACCCAGCTGGGGCGAAGTACCAATGATCGGGGGGCGAACGTACAGAAAGTCGCCAGCCTGTTCTTTAGGGAGCCAGCGGGCAGCATCCACCGATAACAGGCCGAAAACAAGTTTCTTGACCTCTTCGGGTTCGAATGTAGGGAGAGAAATCCGGGCGGCCGAGGTTCTTAGACGAGCAACGTTATGCTCGACACGAAACACTCTGAGCAAGCCGTCGTTGCCTCTGTAAGCCTTCAGGCCCTCGAAGCACTCGGTAGCGTAGTGAAGGCAGGATGCGGTTGGCAGCAGGCTAAGCGGGCCGTAGGGCTTCAACTCAGGCTTGGACCATCCCAGGCCATGCCTCCAGGACGCAACGATCATGTGATCTGTACATATGCTCTGGTCTGAAGACAGAATTGTGGCTTCGCTGGGAACAGGTTGAGGACTGGTTGTGAGATTTTACGACAGCTCGCAGGCCCGTAGCGGACGTTCCGCAAGTGTAGAGGCCATACCGAATGGAAAGAAGCTTCCCCGTGATAAGTGCTGGAGTGTAAAGACTTTGAGGAGGGCAAAGTGATTCCTCCCGTCCAGTGTTCAGTACCTTTTGACGTGACTAGGAACATAACTTTTATACCACTCTACAGGAATTGGCCCGTTATGGTTGGACAGAGCCGACGCAAAACGAAGGAAGACGAGATTCGGCCTCCTTACTCCTTGCCGCGTTTATAATGGAACATTGTAAAAAAAATTATGAAAAGCCTAGGAGGGATGAATGGTGTAAACTCGGTCAACATCCTCGGCGCCGACGTAAGGAAAATCGTAGCATCGGCCCCGATGCAATCCGCCGTTGTCAACAGGCTACAGACAGCCGACCAAACTGAACACGGCGGACTATAGAGGGGCAGGAACCAAACACGCGGCCATACGTTCTTCTATATGTTGCAAGACACTCTGTGCGGGTATTTATCATGTTTGAATGACGTTGTGACTGTTATTATGACACTCTAACCACCAGCGTGGGGAGCATGTTTGACCCGTGCTTCTCTTGCCTTTGCTTCTCTTGGCAGGCTCTCCGGTCTCGCAGGCTTCTCAGGCATCTCGAACATCCGCGAATGCACTCATATCAGGTAAACCTCATTACCTAGTAGTGAGCTTTTCCATCTTTTTTCGCTGGCTCTCTTTTGCTATTCCCCTTGTCTCTGATCTCGCTAGCAGCAACAGCCGCAAGAATCAAAAGGGCAGTCGCGAGCACAAATCCACTCATAACGCAATACACCATGTTTGTATGAAGTTCCTGGCGCCTTTCCACAGCCCGAAGGCGTCTCACAATCTCGTCTTGGTCTTGCGGCAGCCCATCAAACCCCTCCTCGCGATCTGTCCATTGGTTGATTGCAAATTCTCTCGGGTTGTCAAGGACCTCAACCACTTGTGTGAATAGACTTCTAAAGTTCCCAAGGGATGCTAGATATGACTTGAAGGAGGTCGGAGATGTTACTTGTTGTCCCGCATTCCTTCTAGGCGACTCGTACTTGTAGCCCATCTTGGTTTTTCTCGAACCTCGTATGAATCCTCGGAATGGGTTGTCCTGGTGAGGGCTGCCGAATCTACTTTGGTTGTCGCTAGAAGAGGACTCAACGGTCTCTCGTGCTGATGAAACAGGTACTGTGAGTGTTTTGGTGACGTTGGTGAGGCGGTAATTGTGTAGTTCTGCAGTCCTTGTGGTTCTCGGCTGGGCCTTGAGTGCGGTTAAGACCATCCTTCCACTCGTTGGGGGGCTGGAAAGCCGTGTTACTACGAGTGGCATAGAGTTGAACATGATGATTCTCGAAAGTGTTGATGCAGCTTATGGTCAATATGCGTTGGTATGGCTCACTCGACATAGGCTACAATATAGGTTCATTTCAGAGGTTCCCCTTATAACCGCCAAACCAACACATTTCGGAGATAGGTCGTTGACCCCCGCTGCCGCCCCCCCCCCCCCCCCCCTTCCATCCGCTTCCGTAACGTCCATGTCTTTGGTTGGGTTGAACAGGTTCCTGACTTCATCGCGTTTCCATATACAGATTCACCAACACCTCAAACAACATTGCAAAAACTGTCATGGGTATCCACGAAACTACACCCGTCAATACCCCAGCCATCGATTTGTATTCATCACGTCCTAGAAGCGAAGCAGAAAATGTTCGTACAGTTTGTGAGACAGGATCTCCGAGTACCTTGGTTATCGAGGAGACCCAAAAATTTGGATTTCGCCTGAGTCACAATCTCACTACTTGAACCAGGTGACAAATGTATGGGCGTCGAAGTTGAGTTAAAGTAAGGAGACGAGTCTCGTGATATCAAGGTGTACTGAAACTCTGACACCCATTTCAATAGCGTCAGGCTCATGGTATCTCCGTAATGTACTCTACTGCCCTTATAGACACAAACGTTTCCTCGCATATGAACATCTGATATCATCATCCCAACAAGTGAAAACACAACTCGAATAACACAAAACAAAAACATCTCACAACGCCGCAACAATGGCTTCCCAAAGACTCTTCCGCTCTCTCCAGAGACACCTCCCCCAAGCAATCCCAAGGGCAACAACATCTCTCACACTCACAGCCCTCCTACAAACCCGCCTCTTCTCAAATACACGAACTCTCCGCGGCAAAGTAGTCCACCCCGACATGGACAACTACATCCGCTACAGCCTCCGCGACGGTCCCCCACGCACACCCCGACCAAAACCACTCTACTCGCTCTTCCGCCAACATTCATGGCCGAATACACCACCGGCGGCAGCAGCAACAACAAAAACACCACCGACACTCGCAACGCCAACCTTCATTTCAGCCTTTCAACCCACATGGCCGAATCGCAGAGTATCATCATCCTCCTCTCGAACCCCCGAGGACCTCGCACAAATCGAGAGCGGGCTCCGACAGCTCAAAAACCTCAACTCGCAAGTCGGTGACTTGATAGTTCTCGCCGATGACTTGAATGATAGAATCGGGGCGTTCAATAAACTCTCAGAGAACCCTCCCCCGTTCCGCGGCGGGCTTCTCCCTTGGTCCCGAGAGGTTCTTTCTCAGTTCCAAGAAGATCGGCGGCTTCAATCGCAATGCGATGCCTTGTACGTTATCCGGGACCATTTATTACGCGAATACAAGATCTTGAGGGAATCCGCGAAAAAGCCTCTGGCCCCAGGGACCCTATCCGATGATGATGATGATAATGATAATGATGGCGGGAAGACAGGTCCTCGACGTATACGTATTTATCCGTCTGCGTGGATCTGCGGCATTCTCTTGGGGCAAATCTGGAACGGCGTAACCTCGGATAAAGAACCAAAGACTCGGGATGTGGAAGGTGATGCTGCGTCGGATGAACCACACAGCGTCGCGGAAGGGAAGTCAGAGGATGACAAGGGGCTCCAAAAGCTGCATTATCTCGCGAGACCATAGATCCAGTACACATGATTAGTCAAGCCAGGCCAACATAAATAACAAAAGTCACCACTCCGCATTCCTTGCTTCACTTGTAAACATCTCTCATCGCATTAACTCTCATCTTCCTATCTACTCATAATCTACCCATCATCCCAAAGCCGTCGACTCATAATAATAGGCCTCGCCGGATCCCACGGCCCATAAATCTCATTCTTGTACTTTTGCAACCCAATCAGCCACCAACTACACCCGCCCATCGCAATCGCAGAGATGAGCACGCTGACAACCATGCCCGCCACGGCGCCCTTCCAAGGCCAGCAGGACATCCCAACGTCAACGCCAGCGGCACAAGTACCATTATCACCCACAATCACCCCGACACCAGCACCCGCCCCCAAAACAAGAAACACCGTCATGGCGTAGTGATACCCCCAGCTCCGATGCCTCGCATACCGCCGAAACACGGGGAACAGCCCAAAAACCTCAATACTAAACAGCGTGAGACTAAAGACCTGGCCCGTAGAAGGCAGCCGCGAAGCGAGCACCGTCGAGGCCATGAGCGCCGCGTTGGTCGACAGCGAGGCGGGGATGGTGACGCGGACGCCGCCCGAGTAGTCGAAGAAGAAGATGTTGATGGTCAGGAGCCAGAAGGACATGGCCCAGATACTGTCGCTCGACGTGGACTTTGTGAGGGACTTGAGGATGGGGGAGAGGCCTAGGAGGGTGGAGTAGATGAGGATGGCGCTCTTGACTGTGCTGAGACGCTGGTTGAGGCGGCTGTTGTCGTCGCCTGGTAAGGGGAAGGAGGAGCGGCGCGGGAGGGGGAGGGGGAGGGTGCTGTTGACTTCTTGGCTATGGCGGCGGTAGACGGACTGCGAGGTCGCTGAGGTAGAAGAGATGAGGGAGCTCGCGGAGGCGGAGTGCGAGTGCCGCGCCAGGCGAGGCCGCTCAGCGCCAGCGGTGCTAGAGAGATTCGTTGCCGAGCTCGTGGCTGTCGTGGCCGTAGACGAAGCCGCCGCGGCGGTACCATCATCGTGCAGAGGCGGGCTCCGCTGCCTCATGCTCCCCGTCCTACGACTCGGCTCCAACCTCCGACCCGCAGCCGTCGCGCTGCTACTGCTCCCGCCCGCCAGACCTAGCTCCTTCCGCTCCTCGTCGGCCTCCCACCGCTCCCACAGCAGCCACCCCAGGAACGTAGCCATGCTGCTAAACGAAACAATGGACACGGGCGACACGCGCTCCTGGGATATGAGGACGAAACAAACGATGAAGAGGATGACGGAGCAGACGTGCTGGACAATGACCGTCGAATCGGCGACGAGGGGCCAAAAGTCGTAGGGCTGCAGACGCGGGTTACGCTGGAGGCTCTCGAGAAAGGTATTTTGGTCCGTGTAGTTGTCCGGGTAGCTCTGCTTCACCCACATGAGCTTCTTCCACGTCCGCTTGCGACTCCGGCGTGAGCGGGAGCGGTGGCTTCCCGCGGCGCCGACAGCGGCGGCGGCATTATGACGGAGGCGTGCGCGGGCGGCGCGGTGGTCTGCGCCGAGGGAGGAGACGTCGGGGAAGGAGGGGACCGGTCGGCGCGGCGGGGAGGTGGCTAGGAAGGCATCCTCGGGAGCGAGGCGGGATCGGTCCTGGCGCTGCTGGTGGAAGTTTGTGGTGCTGTTGTTGGTGCTACTGTTTGTGGTGCCGGTGCTGAGGGCCGTCGGGAGGGTGGAGGAGCGGGTGAGGGGCGGGGGGAAGGAGCCAAAGTCCGTTGGTGTTGTCGGGGACATTAGGCGCGGCTTTGCCCTTGAGGGCCTCAACAGAAAAGGAACGACAAGAGTACAAAGACTCAATGGATGAGTTTGTTTGGTGACGATGGCTTGGAGGCGTTTGGAGACCGAGACCGAGACCTTTTCTCAGCCTCGCCGTCGCGAATGGACTGAAGTCGGCGCAAGGCTGGAGACCAAATTGGTAGGAGCCACACAGAATGCGCGCGCCAGGAAGGCAGTGGCAGTGGCAGAAAGAAGGAGAAAGAAAGTGCCAATGGGGGCCAGGCCACGCCAGGGGGGGAAGGAACACAAAAAAAAAAAGAAAAAAGGGTGCGTGCACGGACGGGGAAAGGAGATTGGTGGGGAAGGGACCAAGGTCTAAGGCACCAAGGGTAGCCGAGTCAGTCCATTTCGACAAGGGTGTGCCGCCCGGACCAAGTCGCTGTATTCGGTAACCTTTTCTAAAGCTTTTTGTTACCAAGTAAGATGTGCATACGAAGGATACTTAGACTGGTCGGTGGCCGAAAGAAGCGTCTTCCGAAGTCCATCAAGGGAAAGGTGTCTGCTGCAGCATCTGGTTGCTGCATTTTGCTGCGCATTACGGAGTACTACCTATTGCCTCGAGATGATATCGAAAAGGAGGGTAGTAAATCTGGGAAATATTCCGTTCGTCCAACCACAGTTGCTACCTCAAGTTTAATTCTTCCTTTGTCCGAGTAGAGTATCCGTACTCCGTAGTTCCGTACGTAGTAGAGTCTCGGAACCATCACCAAACTTACCAAAGGTAAAGGTTATTGCCCAAAGCATCGCCCGCAGTGGTACCTACCTAGGCTTCATGGATGAGCTGGACGAATCGCGGACAGATCATGGACGGATCTAGGAAGGAATACATAGATGCATGCCTAAAACCAACCCTGCCACGGATTGCGTCTACATCCGCGTCCGCGTCCGCCTTACCCAGAAGCTAAATTGAGTTAACCAACTTTCTTCATGACGCTGTCATGGACACACGCAGCTCCCGTCATGAATCACTTACGATCCGCGGCCCCCTTCTTGACACACGACAACCCAGTATTCGGAGACTTTCCCATCCTCTTGGAAACCCAAATACCACGGTAGCTTGCGCGTCCATGACCCATGAAGCCCCGAAATAGGGAAATGTCGTCGAACGGTCGTTCCAAGCCTTCCGTGGTCATGCAAGACACCAAGTGCTGTCAACAAAGAATACGTCCAGAATCGCGACCCGCGGCATCCCAAGCCCCGGATTCTCAACACCACCATCACGGTCCAACACCGGTACAACGACACCACACCTACTGCGCAGTAGTGACCTGACCACGAGGCTAGCGGTGCACTAGCATCCGTACGACAGGTGCCTCTCAACGGAGTTCCACCTCGCCTTGTTCTGCAGCGCCTGCCTCTGCTCAAAGGGTACCGCCGGCAACACCGTTCCCCGCCAAACCCTTGTGCGCGACGGAATACGAAGAGCAATTCCAGAAGGATTTTGAAGCCGGGCAGTCTCATTTCTGTCTGCCTAGATGGCCCCGAATTTCTTTGCAGGGAGGCCCGCACCGGCACAAAGCTTGTTCGCTGCTTGTCCCCTGGTTGATTGGCTGTCCCACTGGAATCGACCCTCATGCTGCGTTCCTGAGGGCTGAATGGATATTCCCGTCCACCCCGTAGCCAGTCAATGGCGACATTGTCCTGCGTCGTTTTCGTGGTCAAGTCAAAGGTCGTGTGCTCGTCGGCGATTGTGAGATCCATACGGATGGATATACCTAGGTAGATAGTCCATCGTCCCCCTTTCGTGCTGTTACCAATCTTCTGGGCCCCTTCCCGTGCCATGCCCCTCCGCGTTGGCATGGTCAAGGTCCTGTGGTCCAGACTCTTCGGCGCGCCCTACAGGGACTAGGCCGGAAATGTGGCAGGCTGCAGCGATGGCAGGCATGCCCGGTGGGCGCCGTGAAGATTGAGAGTTCGCCTGGAAGGGACTGCTTATTTTGGAACTTTAGCGGGCCGACCGGAAGAGCTCCCACGCTGCCTTTTCCAGCCCAGATCTGACTCTGGCCCAAGGGGCTCGAGTTACTGCTGTTTCGGCGGCACTAGTGCGAATAGCCTCACCATCAGCTCGATGGGATGATTCTGAGAGAGTCGGGGCTGGCATCGACGATCCATCATCCCCCTTCCCTTCAAACTCAGGCACGAGAGCAACATGACATCAACGAGCGGGCGATCTGCGACAATTCGGCTCAACCTCCTTGGTTAAAAACGTTGCTTTCTTGTTGCAAGTCTTGCCGGACGTGCTTGGCAAAGCCAGAGGTATGCGGGTTCGGGGTCCATCAAAGTCTCATTCCCATGGCATCCCGTGCTTTCGCGTGCCCATTGACTGTGGGCTGGCCTGAGGGCATCTGTTGAAACCGTTTTGACGTTCAGACTACCTCACCATGGAGGGCAAGAAGAAGCGGCTTCCCCAGCTGCTGCCGATGTGGGCCTCGGTTGCAATGGAACGAAACTGTCGCAAAACTCACAGGAGGCAGGCTCCAACTTCCCAGGACGGGGATTTCATGTTTCTTGTTCGTCAATGCTTGCTCCGTTTGGTCGTGGTCACCCTGTGATTGTGACCCTGGCGACGAGCCGGCGATACTCCCAAATAAGAGAGACAGCTCCGCGGTGTCTTCAGTCACCACATTGCAACCAAAATGGCGAATGTGCACACTATTTGATGGCGGCTGGTATAAGCTATGTCGGCATCTGCCGCAGCTGTGGTGTGGTGATTCCAAAAAAGAAGTCCAAGCAATGGAACCGGAGCGCTAATCAGTGGATCCTTGGCGTCGATCCATTGCTTGGGTTCGCCAGCTGCGATTTGCCTTTGGCGCCAACTCCCACCTGGCACTGGACAGAGAAACCGTCGCATTAGGCGTTCACTGGTGTTGTCATGATGGTGTTTTGGCGTAGGTATCCGTAGGTAGAGTGTAGGAAGCCGATTTGGAACTTTTGCCGTCCCAGCCCCAGAGTAACTCGATGGTTGCATGGACGAGAAGATCATTGCTGACGATTGAACTGTTGCTGACATGCTCCCTTCATTTCTGGGAAGAGGCAGTGTCTTGGCGCTGGTTGAATGGCCGCTGTGTGCGGCGTGCTGCGTGCATATCCGTGGGATAGGGCGCAGCTGGGTGCAATTTCGTCTGTACGAGGTGCAGCCACGGAAGCGCCAAGCATCGTGAGAACTGGCTGGCTGGACGGAGGCTTGACTAAGCATCCTAGACAAGCCAAATCGACAGGGGGCCATCGGCATACGATCCAAGGTGATGATTGATTTGCTGAGTACGGAGTATCTGTACGGATACACCGTAAACCATTGACAAGGACGGCGACCGCGGACAGGCAGGCGAAAAGTGCGCTATGGTCCATAGCTTTATCCGTGGAGGAGAGGCGGGATCCCGCGTGCCGTGCGCCATGCCATGGCCCCATTTCCGTGGGAAGGCGTGCCGTGAAAATGGACTAATACCTGGGGATCATGGAGGGAAAATAGGCCGAATAGTCAGCGTCCATTATTGTGGCTTGGGAGACACTGCTCGACTGGGTTCCGTCTTCTTCATCTCTGTAGTCTCGGTGGATGCCGGATATTTATTCCAGCTGCGGGAAAGCAAGGGGTCGGTTTGCGTGATTCTCTCTTCTCCTTCGCTAGTTGTTGGTCGTGATTCTGGTCTATTCCTTTCTTTTCTCCCCGCGAGATTCAATGCCATGGGTGTGGCTGGGCTGTGGCTGGACGCGGCGGTATTCTGGTGCAAGGACTCCAGGGTTGAGAGTCAAGGAGCTGGAGACTCGAGAAAAGGACACTGTGGGAAGTCCGGTCACGACGGGGGGTGGTATTATGTGATTCGCTCTCTCGTACGTCTTGGAATCGCCAAGAAAAGCAAAGCTCCTGGTGGGCTTTGATCGCTACCATCTCTTGAAATAAGTTGAGATTCAAGACTCACACAGGGTCAACTTTGCCCACGTGCTCCCGTTGGCACTTGTGGACGGGCAGAAGGTGGGAAATGAGAGCTGAGGGGACCCAGAGGATCCAGACGGGGGCACTGGGGGTTGGCCAAGCTGCGAGGGATCACTCGAGGAAAGCTTGATCCTCTTCCTTTTCATTTTGTGGCGCTGTGAGATGGGAAGTGGGAATCCCTTCCTCAGGTACGAATATTCGGACAGAGTACCTGCCTATGTACTCCGTAGGGTACAAACTACATGGTACATTGAACATGTACCTTGCCGACATAGTAAGGTAAGTTGGGTAAGTACGGGAGGTAATCCACGGTCCTGTGGTCCTGCCAGTAAGTCGTTGTGCCTGCGGGAGAAGCTGCAGTCTCAATAGAAACTATTGCAGGGAAGGTGGGAATCATTGGGGGAAGCACAGCTGGGAAAGCGCAACCACGAATCATAGGACACAATCGGGCAATGTGCCGTCCAGATGGGGGCATCGCTTACACGGGCGGACGAAAGTAAAGTGCAGAAGTTGAGCTGACCAGACATACCTAGGTAGTCTTGCAGACGCAGGCTTGCATTTTCAGCTTCAATAGCTTGCTTTGTTCATTCTCTCTTCATGTTACCTTCCTGCGTCTCTTCTCCTGTCTGTCCCTCCTCCATCAAGCATTGGCATAATTAGACGAGACAACAGAGTGGAAGCTTGACTTGACAACCTGGCTTCACACCCGCAGCCTGTGACGGCAAACGTCGAGTCTTTCCCCTGACATGCCAATTGGAATCCATACGTAGTACAGACTCCATAGGGCGGCGCCTTTTTTGTCTTTCATGTCTTTCGTCTCTTCTCAACCTCGGTCGACAGCCAAATGCACGCATGGGAACCCCCCGCCCGGCCTTCGGCCGTGACAAATGGGATCTGCTGGCAAGGATTGCCTTCTCGTTACTTGCACTCTGGAGTCTCTGGGATTTTGCCGGGTTGTTGGGGTTTCTCATTCTCGCAATGAAGTCTGTCTCTCCTTCTCCATCTTCCTCTCGCGTTCCTCGAACCCCGCGGCCCCTTGCGCTGCCCGTGCAAACACTTGCCATCCCTGGTAAACGTTCGGTGGGTGCCCTGCGGTCTGCAAGAGCCCCCGAAATGCATGGGCAAGCTGCAACGGAAGGGAAAATCCAGGGGACTTCACCAAACCTGCCTGTCTGCCAACCCGCCAACTAACGCGCCTTTTGGGTTTGGGCGAGGTGGTAGTGCAGACGATCCAGCTCACCCCGCGTCCACCTTGGCTCCAACTTGCCAACCTCGTCGTTCGATCCTAAATCGGGATACAGGAGAAAAGATTTGGAAACCGAGTATCTCACGGTGATGGAGTCGTGCTCGAGGTGGCCCTCCATGTCGCATCTCACTTTTGCATTTTCACCGATGATGGATGATGGAGGGGGCCGAGCAAACCGGGTACCGAAAAGAATGCAGACAAAAACCAGAGCCGCAAGGCCCGCGGGCCTATCAACTCTATGCAAAGAAACGAAGATCGCCAGAACACAGCGCTCGAGATCGGCTACTCGGCAGGCTCTCTCCTCGTTCTTGTTACAGGTCTCCAGAGTCAGTCATCATTTGAGTGTGCCGCCGCCGTTGCCGTTCCGTGCGTGCCTATCCCATCCCATCTGTCCATTTCGGAGAGAGCGCAGCAGCAAATCACTCGTGAGTCGCCCTTGCTTCTTCACACTGGGGGGGCCGGAGCTTGAAGACAAACGATCCTAGGGCGCACTTCCTCGACTGATGCCGCCCATGCCACTGTGGTCAACAGCAGTAGCCATGTGTGTGCTGGCACTTTGTACGGTCCAGTCCGTCCAGGACAAGGCCCTGGCAAAGTCTAGGAGAGAAAAGAAGCTTGAGGCCGACCATGTTTGAATCGAGATACCCACCTACTGCATTAAACAGGGTGCACCGCAGTCCACAGGGTCCAGATCATCCCTGCATCCCTGGATGAGCCTAGATCCTGGTCCTGGCCTGCCGCCCGAAGGCAGAGGGGGACAGCGGCCGGTCCCCCAGCACCCGCTTTTTGTGAGGGAAAGCAGAGAACAGACCAGAGGGGATCTGAGAGAGACGAGGACAAGGAGGACGAGGATGGCCCTGGGCCCTTGATGGCTGGCTGGCTGGCTGGCTGGGCTAGCTAGGTCGAGAGAGAGAGAGAGAGAGAAGACGGAGCGAGGACAAAAAGGTGCGAACAGAAACGCCGCCGTCTTGGGTGAAGCTAATGTCATGTTAATCCCAATGCGTAAAAGTTGGGTTTGCTCTCCTTTCTCTCTCTGTCTCTCTACTCTGGATCATACATAATAACATTACCACCTCACCCGCCCCATGCCTCTGGTCTCCTGCACAAACATACTTGCAGCTACTCACGGATACCCAGTCCCATTTCAGATCAGACCCCATCTCTCCTCACTCCGGACGAGTCGAGAGTGTCTCTTATTCTTCCTATATTACTTTCAGACCTCGCTCGCCTTGGCACGTCAAATCCCACGAACACCTACCTCTTCCGTTCTGCTCTCAGCCGTCTATCCTTCCGGTCCTCCTCGCTGCACCCGGGGTCTCACACCTCCCATTAGTCGCCCCGTCCCATCTTCTTCATTCCTCACAACTTGGGAACACACCAAAGCCCGTTACTTGTTTTGTTTCACTCGCCTGCGAGCTTTCTCGCCCTCCATTACGCTGACTTTTTTCTGCGCTCGGTTTCGCGCCGTGCTTCGACTTGTCTCTGGTTGCCCTGCCGCTGTCACCGGATCTCTTTTCCTCTAATAAATTGGCTTACCCAGACCTGGACATATATCCCGTTACGTCTCGGCACACCCCGCACCCCTTCAAGCATCTCAATACAACACCACTGCCCTCCACCTTGAACTACCATATCCACCACTGATAGTTTACAACCATTGCAGCTTGCCGGATACCGCCTTGGCCTGAGAATATTGGTGGAATTGTCACAGACGCAATAGTAATTGGAGTCGACAGCCAGCATAGGCACACGATAGGCCAGTTGCACCAACTTAGAAGACCTACTTCGTTGGAGGAAAGACGAAGAAAAAGAAGTCAGGAGGCTTTCTTTGTGGTTGGAATTGCTTCGACGTCGACGACCATCGTGGAACATTGACTACCGGACGAGGAGTCTAAGTCTCATCTACCTCTCGGAGAACCAGGATCGAGAAAGACACGACGACACAGACGGCATCTTTTCGCGCATCAAAACACCAATTTCCTGTATACACCACCATCACTTATCACCAAACCTAATCACCGACAAAATGAAGCCTTCATCACTACTCTTCGCCCTGGGCTTCACGCAGTTCAGCTTGGCTGTTCCCGTCCCATCAACCATTTCAGATATGGTCTCACACGTCAGAACCGAGGCACGTCGTCTAACGAGGGTAACACGCGTGTCCATGCACCGCACACGACCCGTCTCTGAAGTCTATGACATCGAAACCGAGTTCAACAACGAGCCAGTAACACCATCAGAGGACATGCCCCCGTCAATTGTCCTCGCCGCACCGCAACCCCTGAAAACCACCTACCTCCAATCCCTGTCAAGGCACCCGGGATCTCGCGGCAAGGACAGAGTGGTGGATGTTGTGGGCGACGGAACCCCCGAGACGATCACGCCAATATCGCTCAAGGATGGATTGGCGGAGCTGTTGCCTTCTGGTCGTCTGCCGTGCTGGAAGCGCATCACCCGGCCGACGATGAGGATCTTTGAGCAGCACCCCGATCTGATTGTTCTCGGCGCCGTCATCGCTCTGGTTCTCGTCCTTTTGGTGCTGGAGTTTGTCGGTACTACCTTCCAAGGGTGAGTTCATCTCCATTGACACAATTTGCATCGTTCAATAGACTAACAAGAAACGCAGAGTACGCCAGCACTATGACCCGCAAGGAGTGATCCAGCTAGAGGTGGACGAGAAGGCGTGCAAGACACCATCTTTCCGATGTGACTGGGTACCTTATCACGATGAAGAGAAGCAGGATGCCGAGGAACCCAGACCATGATTTGATGGGATGGGTTTAACCCAAGAAGGGAAACGAAAAAGAAAACAGAAAACAACAACAACGCCAAAGAGTCTCAGGACTCACGGACTACTTTTAATGTGATTTCTTAGACATTGCGATACCATCTTCTTACTAGTATTGAGCGCGGCGCTGGTTAACGGCATGAATAAAAAACAAGAAAAAATTCATAAACACTACATTGAGTTCTCGCGCTTTTTGATATGTGGGCACTGACGGCGGCAGAGAAGGGGTCTGGGGTACTGTAGCGATTTTGAAGCTCTACCTCCTACACGACGCTGAATTCACAAGACGGAGGCTCTGCCTCTAAGACGGCCCCGGTGAGTGACGGACACCGAAGAGGTAACAGAATCTCCAAGCTTGGACGGGCTGATCCACTCAATCCGAAGTTTTGCAACCTACCTTGATGGGGAAGGTTTTTGGATATCAAACTATGAGGGCACGGTTGAGGACTGGGCTTGGGTACCAGTTGTCGAGAGCACAGGAGAGAGGGGTTTCCAGGTACTGTGTCTGCAGTTCAATTTCCACCTCAAATGCCAGTATACTTGGACTTCGAACAACACTGGGATTGGTCGTAGTTGAGGAATAGCTAACTGCCAAAAATGCTCGCGCAGAACGCTCAAGGGAGAAGAACTCACTTCTCCGGGCCTGCGTGTCCAGCCTTCTGACAGGTGTTGATGAATAGATAGCGGCTACTACGGCCCCGTCTGCAGAGACGTTTGCCGAAGTGCCGCGTTGATGATGATGATGATGTATTTAACGTCTGGTAACAAAAGGACGTGCCGGGCGCCGCGATCCGCCGTCGTAAGTTGAGTAGTTGGCAAAACACGGAGCCGGGTCATGTGATGGAGCGGCAACGACGGCGCAGCTAGACAACCTAATCCTATCAACCGCTCCCCCCACCTCCCGTGTTGAGAGTTCGATAGATGGCCATCGGAATGGAAGGAACTACATTCAATGTTCTTGTCGTTGACGAAAGCCGGAATTTGATTTCCCGCCTCGGCAGTGCGGCTCGAAGTTTAGAATACGAGGGCTCTTCAAGGAGCAGGCTATCAGAGCCGTCGCCGGAGGTTCTAACTACTCTCGCGATGATTGAAGCTAGAACGCGCGTCTATTCAACCGTTAACGCGATGTTTTTCGAAAAAGATAGTGATGGAGAGTTGACGGAGGGAGGGAGCAGCGAAATACAAACGGGTGTCGTGTCCGTCGAAAGTGTGAACCGTGGGCCATCATCACGCCCTTCGTGCGATCGTATCACAGAGCTCCCCAATCTTTCTTCCGGCACTACACCAACCCTCCAATTTGTTATGATAGTACTAAATCGGAAACTTACTCATATTCTCAGAATAGAACTACCAATCAGTATTTCTTGAGTTGTTGTGTCGGCCAGCCGCCCACCGAAAGAACCCCCTCAATCTCACGATATGAGCTCCTCCTCCTCGTCAAATCACCACATACGACCATACCCATTGGAAAACTCGGGATCCCGTCCGCTCTCCCATAGATAAGCCAATGAGGGCCGGATTAGTAGTTGGGTCGGTGACGACCAGCGAATACCTGGTGTTGTATGTTTTTGATATATCTTTTTGGTGAAGTTATCGTCGTTTCGTTGTGGTTGGTGACGATGGGTGGAGTGGGATACGGATAGGTGCTTTTTGGGATGGTGAGGGGTGATGAGACAGGTCTTGGGGTATGGCGTGACCGGGAATTATGCGGAGAGGAGGAAGTTCAGGTAATCATTCATCGTATCCGCTTGTACTTGCGTTGTGTCGTGGTCCAATTCAGAGGAGAAGGGGTGGGGGTTGGCTGCGAGGTGAATTGGATGGCAGTCTAGTAAAGGAGACTACCAACTGTGTCTTGATGAATTCTTACTTGATACATAGGGGAGATGAGCCGGTCACAAGCTGTGGGATGAATTCTTGAGAGAAGGTGGGCTACCGACATACGTCAAGTCCCGCTGGTATGCTGTTTTATACGTGCGTGGAATCATTAAAGGGGGATTATCTGTGTCTTTGATTTTGACTAGATTGGTCTCAGACTCTACCGATCATCGGATGACGCTGAGTGCTAAACTCACTGGATGTCTCCTTGACGTGAAAGCGACTGGAGGCCCCGAACAGGATGGACGAGAGGTGTTGGCCTCACACGAGACATACATCGCAAGGCGTACACGTAGAACTTCAACTTTGTCATATTAAATATAATAGCGATGGAACTATTGAACACCATCTCGAATATCAGGCCCGGCGGCCCTTCCACACTTCCCCATATCTCAACCCCCCCACCCTACCAACGCCTTACTAGTAATGCACCGCGAAGGGATACGATGCATCATTGAAAACGGCCCAGCCAGGCGATATGGAATGCTCTCCATCCCACATTTCCTCTTTGTATTTTCTCAAAGCCTCACTTTCCTCCGCGATTCTTTTCTCCTTGGCCTCTACCTCCAACATGGCCTGATATTGCCAGACGGCGCTGTAGCTACCGAGGGAGAGAAGGGTTGTCAAGCCGGCGACTTTCCACATGATGGGGATGGCGTTTACTTTCTTTGCCATCTTGAGAGTCCGGTTATAGCCGCTGGAGAACTTCTTTCTCATGGCGGATATCTTTGTAGGCGAGGCTGTGATGATTGCGTTCTGCATCGACCCCGTCTTGTTGATGTCGTGGAGCTTGGTCCGGGAGCCTTGACTCTTCTCAGGGGACTGGCTATGTTGAGGAGGCTAGACGTGAAGGTTTCTTTACCGCCTGCCAGATGATGGCAATTGTAAATGCTGAGCTTTGATTTACCCGGGTTGGGAGGTGTATCAGGCTTCTCGAGGGTTTTCGCAATCAACTCTGACGAGGTTTTCAGGGAGCGGCGGAACTCAAAGTGAGTTCGTCTCTTATTGAGGGCTGCGGTGGTTGAGGAGAGACGCGAGTTGTGGGTTCCGGCTCTGGGAGCTGGTGCGGTTGAGTCCTTGACTGTGGGCATGGCGAGGTGCTGGAAGACGAGGGTAATTTTGGATGCCATGTTGTAAGTTGTGGGCGATGAGATTTTGCTTTTGATTGATTTTCTCTTTGTTTATGTGGGAGTATTTGATGGCTGGATGAACTAAACAGGAATCTGGGATGGTTCAGAAGACTTGGTTTGATTTATATCTCTGTCTGCAGTGTCGGAGAAAGGTCGAGGAAGTAGAGTTTGATATCTGGTCGGCAAGGAACGTCCATGGTTGAACAGCGCAAGACCTTGAGGCCCCATCTTTTAGTCTGATGTATGGCGGCATGGTCTGTGACATTTCAGGGAAAGAAAGAGCCCTGTCAGATCTTTCTTTCCCTTCATGATCATCGCCAGTTCATCAGATTCTACTACATCTCTTGTCGGCCTAGGCGCGAAGGAAGAAGTATACTGAGATGGTGAGTTGACATGAAGTAGATACTATAAGATGAAATCGTTTGCCAACTTTCATCTCTTCTTCTCGAAGTCTGAAGAAGAAGAAGGGTAATTCGACCATTAACATGTTATAAGACGGCGGTGCTTCGTCTTAACAACACTCGGCCCATCAAGGTGCTACACGGAGACGTAGCGGTTATCGTGGTTTAAGATTCGGCTTTCTCAACCAAGAATTCCGGCACCAAGTGGGCTCATGCTCCTCACTGCCATGCGATCCCCGTGGCAGGAATTTAGTTCTTTGCCTCCAATTCAGCGATCACGGCCGTTAGGAAAGTGAAATGAGGCTCATCTGCCTTTACGACCCTGAATCAGCCAGCTCGACTTGGCACGGCTCATCCAAACAAGCGCCCAAGCATGAGAACTCATTTCACAGCTTTTCATGTCTCGTTTATCCTCATAAGACTATTGCAATGGAAGTTCGTGAGGCATTTATTGATGAAAGCTGAAGTTGCAGCGTACCTTGGACCAACCAACCGTCGTGAGTCCCAACAAGTGGTCTGCAGATCTGGACCCTGGCCCAACCCCTCCTTTCCCATCTCTGTTGGTACGCAGAAATCAGGAAAACCACCACACTCTTGGCTTCGTTATGTTTCGGAAGGCACGACTACTTTGGCCTATGATGCGACTTTAACAGGGCAACTGATAGTCGCGTGTATTTACTCGCGAGGTGCCACCAGAGAGTGTGATTATCGGCAGGAAGCATGTTGGTCGATGCCTTCATGTACAACCATTAGACGGAAGACGCATGTTATGATGCAGCTAAGCGCTGCGACCTGCATGTATGGGTGCCTCATGACCCCGTTTCGAACCGAAACATTTCCAGGCTTCTAGCAGTTCCCCGAGCTATCGCATTCCATGGAATCTTTTCGTCTCCTCATCCCCATGTCACGTCTGTCTGTCGGGAACTATCTTCGTCCAAAATCGCGTTGTATGATGGACCTCAAAGCCCGATCATGACCTATTCTTTCTAGTTATTTGGTCAAAATTCCACTCATTGGATGTACCACTCGACATACAGACAGCTCAGCGCAAATCGGGAAACCGCTTTCGGTCTCGAGTCACCAGTGGGGACATTGGTGAGCGCGATTGGGTTATCTGAGTAGTTGTCCGACACAAATCCATAATGACAGAACCCAAGTCCTCCGAGTATGCGAAATCCAGCTGCGTTGCTGCCTTGATCTCATGTTTCAACCTCGGATCAAAGAAGAAACCGCCCGTCTCAACAGGACCGACGTCAAAGCCAGCCGTACCATACGAACCCAAACCACAATCGCCGGCCAAGTCCGCCGATGATTCCATTTCGAATGGCAAGGCCGAGTTAATCTCATCCAAACATGCGGCGAACGGAAATATAAACTCCGACAGCAAACATACTCAAGAGTCTGCCGGATCACATGTAGAGGCGGCCTCTACAGACCTACAGCTCGTCAAGCATCAGCCGATCGTTGTTGCAGAAAACATGCCAGTGGATCTGTGGTATGAGGCGCTCAACAAAACTCACAAAGACACCAAGTCTTGGATGGGAAAGTTTGGCATTGATCGCTCGAGTACCATCCAAGTCAAAGAATTGACGACACTGGTCAGACAGAGCGAAGAAACATACCAGGATGCCAGTTCAGGATTGAAAATCGGGGAACGAAATATCTTATGGGGGGGACTACGCGAACCGAGTCGTGGCCTGGGTGACTACGATCGGAGACATCACCGTACCATTCGCCCCTGTTCCGGTCTCACCGGTGTGGTCGGCACTCAGAGTGCTCTTAAAGGTAGACTTACCCAAAAGAATTCATATCAAATTTTGAGTTCTACTGACTGGGAAAGGCCGAAACAAGTCGCGTCGAACAACTCACCGTTGCTTTCGGTGTCGCTGACCGTATTCTCAGTATTGTCAGACGGGGTCAGATATACGAATCTGTGTACGAACTTTCTAGCGGGACTTTGACAGAACCCTCGACAGTGCTCCTGAGAGAATCTCTCATTGAGCTCTATAGATCCTCGCTGGATCTACTTGCTTCGACATCCACTCGGCTCGATGGACAGGATTCCTGGGCAACGCAGTTTCTCGCAGCTCTCACTGGTCTATCCCGCTCAGAATCTTTCCTGTCAGACCTGAAGTTGATGGAAAAACGAGTCTCAAAGAATGCAGAAGCCTGCGTTTGCGAGTCATCGAAAAGGAATTCCGAGCTGTTAGAAAGTCTCCACAGCCCTCTGAGACGCATCGACGATAGGGTTGCGCAGCTTCTAGATGAGTTCAAGGGCATGGAAAGACGAGACAGGGAGCATGCCATGAACTACATTAGTGACGTCAAGGTCGATGGAATTCATGTCACCAAGAAATAATTAAGGACCGAGGGAACCTGCGAGTGGCTCGTACAGCATCCGAGCTTCCTGGCATGGGAAGAGCCAAGCTCGTCATCCATCCTATGGCTCAACGGTCAAGGTAGGCCATGATTCATCCTTACTCCAGAAATAACTGCTGAAAAATCGGTCACAGTGGGGGCTGGGAAGTCCTTCCTCACCTCTAAAGTCATTGATCGCTATCGGTCTCTTCCAGGCGGTGCTGCGGAGAACGATGAGGGCTTTGCTCACTTTTACTGTGATCGGTCATTGGTCGGTCGAAAAGACATCAAATCCATTCTCAGCAGTTACATCGTGCAGCTCTTGACGGTATCCCGTTACCGCGACCGATGGCACACGGAGCTTCTCATGTTTTGCAAGGACGCTGCGGCATCTCGACGAAGCCTGGAAATCTCCGAATGTGAAAGATTTGTACAGAACTTGGTCAACGCGTACCCGCGATCTATCCTAATACTGGACGCTCTTGATGAGTGCGAGCAGGGTTCAAGAACGCGGATGGTGAGATTCTTTCGAGATTTAGTCAGAGACTCCGACCGCCCCGTCAAAGTCTTCATTTCGAGTCGCCCGGAGACGGATATACTTCAATTAATGGAGACTTCGCCATGCGTCCAAATCAGTACCAAGGACAACCAAAACGACATTGAGAAATACATTGTGTCGGAACGGCAAGGCTGATAAGGAGCAATGGGCAGGTATCGTGGGCTGGCTGGCGCCTGCCCTGGGCGAAGTGGGACAACCACCCAGGCCGTCCCCACCTACTTCGATCGGCCCCTGCCCACAATGTAAATAGGAAGAAGAACAACAGCAATTATCACGGACATCGACGTGATTGTTGCCGAAGATACACCCTCATGAGGAAATGTATCACGCCTGTGATACCAACACATTGACCTCAAGCTCAGCCAAGTCGGCCTTAACCCGGTTTGGAAGAGACAGAGTATGCAAGAACTTGTAAGAAAGACTCTTCTCGAGAAACACGGCGGAATGTAAGTATTGCCCTACAGCTGCATGCTTCATCGGAAGCACCTATTGACGTTTCCTATGTGGCCAGGTTCAAATGGGTTCAGCTGCAATGGGATCAACTCGAACCATTGAATACAGAAACCGATGCGAAGCAGCGACTCAAGAAGATTCCAGAGGGTCTCGTGGCCTCTTATGAGGAGTTATGTGCTCGGCAAGACGGCCACGCACTGACGATTCTCATGAGAGTCGCCATGTGGGTCAAATGGGCCGAAATACCGATACCGACAAAGGCTCTTCTCCATGCAGTTAAACTGCCGTTCTGTCAGACCCCTGAGCAATTTGAGACTGCCATGGACGAAGAGAGCATTACAGAGGCTGAATTAGCCGGAATTTGTCGTCATCTGATCATTGAGAGAAAGCTGATGACAAGATTTGGACAGGATTCAGTGTGGGAATTCCCACATGCCTCAATCGCAGAATTTTTTGACACTAAGCTCAGCTCCTGGAAAGACAATGGTGAACGGGACCTGACAACGTTGTTGCTCCTCGAATTGTCTTTACCAGCAGCTGAGATTACTTTACCGGATGGTCGTGAGAATCGACTTCCGGTGTCTTCGAGAGAGAGAGTTTCTCCGAATATGCCTACCAAAGCTGGCGGGTCTATGTCCAGAGTATATACAGACGACGCCCCAAAACAAAGGAAATATCCGGTGTTCTGGGCTATTGCCTGGGCATTGGTGATGCTGCCGATACCTCGAGCTTTCGACACCAAAATGCCCTGTATGAAAAGGGTGCTTGGAGGAGAAGGTGGTTGTTGCGTGACCACCTCGACATGCACCCATCACTAAATCCTATCTTTGCAGCCTGCGATTTAGGGTCTTTCGACTTACTAGAGCATCTACACCGGCTTGAGTATGATTTCACTGAAATAAATGACAGGAGAAATTCTCTGCTGTTCATTGCTGCTCGAAACGGATACGACGACATTTGTTCATTTCTCATTGACCATGGGGCAGAGATTAACTATCTGGGACCATGGGCAGGCGATTCTGCACTAACTGTTGCCTATTCATCCGGGCATTCTACCACCTTCAAATGGCTTCTTTCCAAAGGAGCGGACCCTAACATTCACAAGTACCATGCGCCACTATGCATCATCGCTAGGGCATCCAGCTCCAACGACTTTCTTTCAACATTGTTGGATTGGAAAGCGGATCCAAACTTTCCCTGCAAGAGCGGCGGAGTCGGGTATTGCCTCA